ACCTGGTGCTCAATCCCTAGGCAAGGGCATTCGCCCCTGGGGCGCTGGTCACCGCCCCGGGAGCCGCCCCCGGGGTCATGCCAGGGCGGCCCGCGCAGGCAGGCCCCTGGACAGTCACCTCTCCCCTGTCGAGCATGCAATTTGGAGCGAGGCAGAGAGACTGAGGCCCACCATGACAAACGCCATCCCCATTCCTGCGGAGGCGAGGAAACCGAGTCCTAGGATGCGGGGGGAGCAGTGGGGACGGCAAGGGCGCGGTAAGGCGGTGCGGGCTGCGTGTGCGCGCGCGCGCGCGCGTGTCCCCAGCCCGGAGGCACCGTGGTAAGCCCGCGGCCCTCGGAGCAGGCGGGGAGGGGGAGCCGCCCCGGCGAGCAGGGCCGCGCCGGGTAGCAGCTGCAAACACCTTGGGGAAACGCCGGCTCGCCTTCCACAGCGGGCCCTCCCTGTCTCAGGAATTAGCGCCCTCTCACCATCGTCGGCCCTGGAATCGGGTGAGATGTGATAGGTCTCTAGTGGGGAATCTCCTTGGAGCTGCCCTCGGTTTCTGAGATGCCAGAATAAGAAATCAGACTATTATTTACTAGGAATCTTCACATGCATGAGTTTAATCCAATATTGGTGTTCTGGAAAATGTATCTGGGGGCCCTTGGGTACACTTTTAATTTAACAAAAAAACCACTTTTATAGCCTTTCTTAATATTCTCCAAAGTACCTAAATAAATTTGTTTTTTTCTCCTCTAATATTTTCATGTAAATCAATCTCTTGTCTCCTCCACTCTCATGTATTGTTTTCGTTTCTCATCTGTGAAAATTTTCCATTTGTCCTTGTCGCCCTAACCAGCAAATATCAAATAGACCCTCACAGACCCCGGCTGTGTCTATGGAGCCACAGCAATGGGAGGCGGAGGCGTCAGCCAGAGAATGCACGCAGGTTAGACAGAGGCGCGGCAGAGCCCAGTGTGGGAGGACCCTGCCAGCCCGGGCCGCTGCTGGGCGACAGGGCCGCCGGCTGCTGTGGCCGGGAGTAATTTTGTTGCCAACCTCCATGACCAAGCATGTAACCTCAAACATCCCATGTTCTTTTAATACATGAGAAATCTGTCACCCATGACTTTGTTATATCTTTTTTTAGCTATTTTTCCTTTTAGTGAATAGAAGCTTCCTGTGTAAAGAGTTTAATGACGTTACAACCCGCCACCTGGATCCCGTCACCTGGGTGAGCTACAGTGACGGGCTTCCCCACCCAGAGCCACTCGCAAATGCCTCAATCTGCCTTGCTCCTCCTTGGCCGTTTTTGGAAGAACTAGAGTCAGAAGGAAAAAAAAAAAAAAAAGGTTGCAACTCCCCTCGATTTGCAGGCCTTGTTCATATGGTCCCCAGTTCTCTGTCATGCTTTGCTGTTTGGTCTTGAAAACTTTTATCTACAGGATAATTTTAGGATTATGCTTTACTTACCGACTCCAGATCAATAAAAATTTAGATAGTCTTGGGAGGCTTTATGTGTGTATGTGGTGTTTTTTGTTTTCTTTTTAGGGTTATTTTATACTATTTTGAAGGGTTCAGAAATAGTGTAGTAAGGGAATATCCCACCAAATACACCGACACCTTGAGACTTCCCCCTCCTGCTAACAACTCTAGAGGCAAACACATGGAGCTTTAATGCCCAAGAGCAAGAGCCTGCTCAGAGCTCGTCCCTTCCCCCCTTTTCGGCCTCTTCTGCCTCAGTCAACTGCACTTGTTGGTTACACTGACCTATTTATTTGCCGTTCCTGGGAAAACCACACTCCTTCTGTCTCCATGCCTTGACATAGGCTGTGTTCCCTTTGCTTAGAGTTACCTTTATTACCTGGTTGGCAGGGGAGTTTGAAATTTAACTTCGCCACGGAGCCCTAGTCCAGGTTCTTCGGTGTCGCATAAGTCACCCCTCAAACTGTGACCCCCCAGGCCTTGGCTCACGACTTTACTAGTTCTTGGAATTCACCGTACTGTTTTATTACGTGCCCACTGATTTATCTGGATATTCGTTCTTCTAGAACAGACGCCACACTGTTCTTATCATTAGTAGTCTAGCTTGCCCATGGCCACGCTAGGTAATGGAGTGAACATGTGCTGAAAACACAAATGGGGAGAGGAGTTCTATACATAAACCAGTGTGTGCACATGCACACAGAGCCCCACACACGGGTCCGGGTAAACAGGAGCACCAGGCAAAGACTGGACACAGGCGTAGCCCCTGCCTCACAGAATCATCCATTTGTAAGTTTTTTGTTTTAGTGTCCTTGATCAATTTTCTTCCTTGTCTGAAAGTCAAGAATGCCTATTGCTATGTTTTTCCTGGTACATTAACCTAGATTTCTCACAAGGGAATTCATTTTAACTATTACTGGCCTAGGATCTGCCTGCTCTACTTCAAAAGAATGCTCAGCTATTGTAATGCATGCAATACAAGAATACTAAGTGACAAACATAAATACTCACACATGCTGCTTACCTGCACCTTCTGGAACATTAAGCGAGATGTTCAGGAAAATGAGGCCTACCATTGATTTTTCCATAATACCCCAATACATATCATTAGTTGGCAATCTGTCAGGCAGTTATCAATTCAAGTGACAGTCTTCACGTTCAAATCAATTTAGATTAATTTTGTAAGAATCATTCAAGGAAGCGTGGCATCGGGTCCCTGATTTAAATAAAGATGTATGACATCTTCCACTTTCATTTATCTTGTCATTTTATGAGGAAAATGCAGTCATCTGTCTGGCACTTTTTTATATACATATAAACTCATGCTGCTTATCACTCCTGGTTCCATTATCCTCAAGATAGTCACTTTTTTTCCCCTCCTAACAGTTGCTCCATTATTTTATTAGTGTCCAAAATGAGACCTCGTGTAGACAGTGATGATCAGAGAATAATGGAAATGAGAGATGGAAATGACATATTAGGTCTCCCTGTCTGTTTCCTGGGGCTAATATTCCTGTCAGTCAGAACTCAGTGCTCTCGCCTTATTTTAAGTGACACCAGCGTGGGGCCTCTGCCATTTTGCTGGAGGCTCTTGTCTACATCCTAAGACTGTCTCTACACGCCGCCCGAGGGAATGACCTTGTGCAATTACCAGGTGAAGTCAGACCCATCCTCACGTGCTCGTCTACAAGGCAAGGGATGCGGAGTCTTGAGCCATTAGCCACCAAATCCAATCACTGCACAAGGCCAGTGTGGACCACTCAGGGCAAGAAGCAAAATGGTATTTTGCCATTGTCTTCTTCAGCAGCAAGTTTGCAGGCTAAGAGATAGAGAGCGGGTTATCCATCACCCTTTACAATATTTTACTCAGTAAGAATCATAGCCAGCTGAGACTCTCAGCCATCACAAAAGCAAAAATCCGGCCTCCCTCCAAACTATGCACGCATGCACAGGGGTCAGAGAGCAGTCTCCCCTCTTTATTCAGACCCTAACTGACATCTGTTAGCCACGCCCTCTGCCCTCCCTGCCAAGCTCCACAAGCAGCCACCTCGTAGGCATTTCCCCTCCCACAACCGTCTTCCTCTATTTTTGTGGGCTGCCTCTGCGACTCCATCTCCCACCCAGTGGAAGTACAGCAGCCCTGCATTCTCACTAACAGAAGAATTTCATGGCGCTCTGACTTCCCCAAGGTTTCTGACCCGTGACTCAGATTTCCCTTCTCTGCCTTCATTCTTCCTTGTCCTTATCCCTCGACCTCAACCCGTTCCAGAACATTTGCCCTCTTCTAACATCTACGGGCATTTATCATGCTCCGACTTAGTCATCAGCTGGCCAAGTTCTCCGAGCTGAGTTCTAGCCCTTCATCATAAATCACTCCCTCGAGCTCTTCAATCATTTTTATTGCTCTTCTCCAAACTCTCACCCATTTGTCTCCATATTTATTGCTCTGAGAGTCCAGAACTACATTCAATATTCTAGGCTCAGTCTCATCAGAACCAGACAGAGGGGGCTGAGTCCCCCACGGCAATGTGGGAAGTAACAACGGCTTCTTTCTTGCACCTTGTTGGGCGGCAGACACGGTTCTACTCGGCACTCCAAGCAATCACTCCGAGAGGGCGTTTGCCCTGCTTTCTTTCTAGCTCCCCATGCCATTGATTGCTATTATTAGTTAGTGTTTATTGATCCCTTTCTCCTTCCACTCTCCTCTGCAGCCCAGCCAATGCAGAAAGCAAGCTCTCAGCACCCCGCACAAAGCAGGAAGCGGCTTGTAAAAAGCAACAGGAGATGGATAGTGGAGATGGTCGCACTACAACATGAATAAACGTAATGCTATTGAGTGTATGTAATGCTATTGAGTTGTACGCTTTACAATGATTAAAATGGTAAAACTCATATTATGTATATTTTACCACAATAAAAATTCACCAAACAAAATAATAATAATAATAATAATAAAGCAACAGACAAGGTGACGTTTTCACCCCGGTCACGTGTGCTTGGGGGAGAGCAGAGATCTCACAGAGAATTGTTAACTGGGGACTGGGCAAACACACGCTTACTCAACCCCAAGCACGCCGAGTCTGCATTTCGCCGCTGCGGACAGTCCCCAGGTAGACGTGGAAGCGAGCTCCTGCTCACGGCCGTTTCCCAAAGCTCGCCATGCCTGGGAGGGCCCCACAGGAGTCTGTGTGGCTCTACGTGCCTCCCACAGAACCAGCAGCCACGTCTGGCAGCGGTGTCTTCGTGGATGGTGGCAGCGTGACAAGGAAAAGAGGGACAGGTTGGTGTTCAATCCCACCTGGAGGGCTGTGAGGCGGAGACGTCCTCTCTGAACTCATCAATGGAGAACAAGCTGAGAGGGACGTCACTGGGATGGTACGAACACAGAAAGGTGCCGCTACCTTTTTACCCATTTGCTGCTCAGAATATGAGCAGCCTTTAGCTCTGCTTCCCAACACGTGGTGGCTGCACATCAGGCCAGGCGCCCGAGGGGTGACGTCGGGGACTGGCTACCTTGCCGCCCCCTCACTTACCCCTGGTTTGTCCCCCACTCGTTCCGAATGCACAGGTGCTTGTGTACAGGATCCTTCATGTACCCTTCGTAGCACAGACATTCCCCTTCGAGGCAGGCAAGGAGGGAGAAAGAGAGACAGAGCGATTGATCAACATGTCTGTGTCGGAGAAAGTGAACATGCAACTACCAAACTCGGGCCCTGGAGTGTGGCACGGGTGAGGCCCAGGGCCCGCTGTGTCAGACATCCCCCCCCACCCCGGGAGTGAGCCCCCCGCCCCCACCCCTCTGCTTCCCACTACGCGGCCTTGGGCGCTACCACGGAGATCTACCATTTACAAGGCACCTGCTGTACGGGCTCTGTAAACACAAAGGTAAGAACTCTTAAGCAGTGGATTTTCCACCTTTACTTCCTCCATACCCAGTATAATGCAAGGCGCATAGTAGGTGAGCAGTAAAATGGTTAAAGCAATAAAGCATAAGTGCGTTATTTCATCGAAATTTTCATTAAGATTTCTAATCTTGAAAAGTGGGTTTTATTGGCTATGCTATGTAGATGGGGGAAACTGAGGCTAGGAAAATCAAGGGAGACAGCTTGTAAATGGCAGAGTTAATATTTCAATCCATGTCTGCCTGACACCTGGCCTTTTCCCTCATCATGCTGCGCTGCTCGCCCACAGAACAGGTACCGCAGAGGAGGCCACTTACACTGATTATGGTTTTATAGGACCTTGGGGTTTTAAAGTAAACCAGCTAATCCTCTTGGCTGGTAAACAGGGCGATCACCCACCAAATCTGTATTTGTTGAGGATATTACTGTGCTTTCTCGTCATCAGATACCCAAGACGTCATGACCCCTCCGGAATTGTATGCAAAACTGCGCAGGAGTGCCTTTCCATGAAAGATTTGCAGGACTTTCACCTGATTGGCAAGTAAATCCAAGAGCCCCACAAGATTAAGAATTGTGGCTCTTTTTAGTCCTGATCTCAAAGGTCATCATTGTGCTTCCCCTCAGGCCAGCCCCTAAACTAAACTAAAACTAAACTTTAACTAAAGCACTCTGTTAACTCCTCTAGGGGCTGGTTACTTCAGGAGTGTAGAGTGTGACTTCCTGAAATTTGTAAATAACAAAGGTGCCGCGCCCTAAGGAGACAATGGGCATTAAGTTCCTTTATCTCCTTAGCAAGAGGCACTTAAAAAGGATATAAAAGAACAATAGCTTTGAATGCTATTATCTCTTTTCAAAGACAAAAAGCAATACAAGTGAAGTGTTGAGGAAAGGAGCTGAGTAGGCTCTGAGCAGGTTGTGTACAGGATCTGAGCTCAACTGCTTATTTCAAGATTCCCCTCTAGGCTGCTGGCTGCGGCGGATGACGTGCATTTTCTTCCCCCACACCTGCCCAAGGAGCTCAAGGGTGGGGCGAAAATGAGTAACTTCCTAGTCTGTGGGGGACCCCCAGGGACTACAAGGCTGGTAACTTTGTCTCCTATATGGCAAAATCAGGCTTCCATGAGGTCTCGGTCACAGGAGCCCCGAATTAACTGGCATCAGTAGCGCTGAGCTGGACCTAGGGATGGCTGGGCGGCCAGGAGTCGGACACAGGGAAATATAGCTGGGCATCAGGTAGTTGATGGTAAGGCTTTCAGATGAAGGCTGCTTCTATTAATTCCAAAGAAAGCATGACCTCGAGACTAAGCTACACAAGGGCAAGAACAAGGTTAGATTTTCCTCCACGCGAGCAGGTCTTTTATAAATACTGCGTAATGGAAAATAACTGAAGTAACTAGTTTGCCTGAACTTACAGGTAAGACCATCCGCACCTCACCCGAGACACTGAAATCTAAGGCAGTTCATGGGTCAAAGGGCCCGGCTATGCTTCCCCTGGAAGGAGATCGTTTCCTGCTTGTCCTTGTGGACACTGGACATGAGATGATGTTAAAAGCAGGAATTAACCTGAAGAGGTGGTCAAACCCATTACTCTGTTCTGACCCTTACAATGGCCTTGGTTGGGTCCCTTGCCTGGAACTAAGGAGGAACAAAAAAGGGAGTCCTCCTTCCACATCTGATACCTAGTTACCAGAAAACATGTAAAAATAAGTGCAGTAGCAACCCAGAGTTCAAGCAGAGTCTGATTCTCCTAACGCGGCCGACACCTACCATTTGTAGGCACATGCACCTCCCTTACATGGCCTTCCCGGTCATTATCTCCTCATGAGGCTGGTTCATTCATCACCATGTGGGGACACGCTGCTGACAACAGAGAAAGCTTTCCTCCACATAATGTCCTTCGCAGCTCAAAGCCAGAGCACCAGAGAGACTGTCAAACACACCGGGGAGAGTCTGTGGACATCCAAAGGCTGCCTCTCAAATGATCCTCGTTTCCGGAACCCACCAAATTGTCCTCTTCTGTATTCCTCTGCAAAACCGGTCTGGCCATCTAATACATGGAAGGGAGATCGGACTTGATGAGGAAGGTTGCTATGGCAACCCGCCACAAAATCTTGACCTGAAGAGGGATCTCGTGCACGCACAAGCTCTGTTAGCTGTGAATTTTAAAGACCCTGCGAGGCTGTGGGATGCCCTCCTAAGCCAGAAGCGTCATAGCCTCTGCACCTGCTGTGGCAGATGGTGGGGGCACAGGACGTGCTGACTCCGTGGAAGTGTCCATGGGATCCAACAGAAAGGCGCGTCATGGGCACAGAGAAAGGCCCAAGCAGGGCAGAGGCACTCACGGGCTAGGTCAGTGCCAGAGAGCAGAAGCCCGCCCTGGGGCGAGGCAATCTGGGCTCCACCTGGAGGGGGCGCCACTGATTTGTGCTTGGTACCCGGAAGGAGGACCCCTGAGGAACCTTGTATGATGGAGAGAGCCTTCGGTCACATTCCACCGACAGCTGAAGGACTCAGGAGCAAATCTCATGGAAGGATTAGAGAAAGTCCTTGAAGCGAGGGCTCCGCAGATATGACTGGGCTCACCGCAAGTCCTCCACGAGTTAAATACAGATCAAGGCTGAAACGTCTGAGTTACCTCGATCCTTCAGGTAGCTGATGGCTTTCATTAAATAGAACTGGGTATGTTTCCTCTAGAAAGGGACACTTTTGCAAGACACCTGACTTGGGTAGTATCTAATCGCCAGGTCTCCTTGTCTGTGAAGACATCAGGCCCGTAATCAAACGTCACACAATCCTGGGAGGAAGGAGGGAGCACAATACGCCCGACGCGCATCCTGAAAGGCGCTCTAGTTGAGCCACAAAAGGGAGTTTGGAGTGAGCAGGCATTCCAGGTGACAGGGACAAACCGGAAGCTGTGCTACGGTGCCAGTTTGGGTTAAGCTAGGGAAGGCTACAGAGAGAGAGGTGTTGGCTCGGAGAACGGAAAGAGCAGGAGGGCCAGGTTGAGTCTAAAAATCTGGTCCAACGGCCCTCACCAGATTTTACATGTTGCTAACGGTTGCAACTGGCTTACGGAATGGTCTGGGACCAAAGACATTTGGGGGACCATCTTGGGTGGTGATTAAAACTTGACGCAGCTTGGAAGCCTGTGCTCCTCACAGACCCATAAACCCACACACACACCCTGACATGGGAACGGGGGTCTGGGGCCAGGGCCGCCAGGGGCCGTGAAACAAGGCAGGTGTGAAGCCTCCACGGCTGCCCACGCGGCCGAGCAAAGGCCAGGAACGGGGTGCAAAGACAAGTCCCCGAAATCTGCTGGTCTGTGTCGTTATCAAGAAACAACCGAAGAAGCCTACAACCACCACAAAAACCTTAGAAAATACAGGAAAGTAACCTCTGCTGGATCCAGTTGGGCATTCAGCCTCACAACCTTGGGGGTTGGCTGTTGGCTCAGTGTGAGCAGACAGCTCCCGAGAGCTCCAAACCTGGGAGGATGGCGACAGAACGTCACCGTGTAGCTGGCAAAGGGCTGGGGGGCACTGGGTTAAGAGCTCTCGGTGCCGCACGCCCCTCCCAAATGGCATGGTTGCTAGAATGTAAAAGGGAGGCGCGATGGAAAACAGATCAGCGAGTGACCTCAGCTCCGCTTCTCCCACAGGCTCCTGAAACACCTGCAGAACGTCTATACAACCCCCTCTATACGCTGGGCAGGGCGACATGAAGGGTCACCTAACGAGGCTCATTCTTTCTCTATCCTTTTTCTTCCTCCCTGGTATATTCGTTTTCCATGGCTTCCATTAAAAATTACCACAAACTTAGTGGTTTACAACAATATGAATTTATTATCTTGCAGTCCTATAGGTCACAAGTCTGACAAGGCTGAAATCAAGGTGTCACGGGGCGCCCGCACTCCCTGGTTCAGCCCCCTCCCGCCATCTTGAAAGCCCGCCATGGCTGGTGGGGTCCTGCTCAGATCACATCGCTCTGGCCTCCTCCTCCGCCTCCCTCTCCTCCTGTTAAGGACCCTCGTGATTATTTCGTGTCCACCTGGTTAATCCAGGATACTCTTGTTCTTTTAAAGCCAGTTGTTCAGCAACCTTAGCTCTATCTGCAACATTAACGCATCTTTTCCATGGAACAGACCACAGTCACGGCTTCCGAGGACTGGGACGCGGACAGCTCTGGGGGCCCACCATCCTGCCCGCCCGCCGCACCTGGTGCTCGCACCACCGCGAAGGCCGTGAGTGAACACACGCCTAACGGTGGGACACCGCAGAAGGGAGCCCGAGGCCGCTCCAGGCACCGGAGGCCACCCCTCTGCGGGGGCTGAGCGCCTGCGTGTGCATTTGTGTGTGTGTGTGTTTGTGCGTGTATGAAAAAGTATTCACGTGCGCCTGCACGGCTCCACACATTCGTATGGGCGGCCCCTCGGCATGGCTGGGAAAGCACATGTCCCAGCACCACGACATTTCCAAACGAGTTAGCTGGGGGATGGCAAAAATAACGTCAACTTGACTTGCCGCCAATTCCCACACGCAGCTCTCTGGAGAAAGGCTCTGGGATGGAGTGTGGGAGGCGATAAAGTTTCTTACCAATGAGCACGTGGCATGACCACATCATCCCATGTGCAGAGACAAGCAGGCGGAAGGGGAGCATTTCCAAATCCAGCGTGCAGGTCTGGGCACCGGCATTTCTCAGTGCCCGCTCCCCCCCGCCTGCCCCCGCCCCATGGAGTCGCTGTGCCTCCTGTGTCTGCTGTGGGGCTGTGGTTCTTACTTGCCGTCTCCCTCCGTGGCTTTCCAGCTGGACATTCATTAATGGCCACAGATCCTGGGAAGCCATCAGCAGGGGAGGGGTCTCCCGAAGTCACTGTCGGCGAGGACTGGAAATGAGACATCTGGGCGGCCTCATGTGGACAAGCAGCTTCCAGAGCCCCTGGCTCAGGAAGCCGTGACGCTCAGTGAGGGTGGCGGCTCGCCGTTCCGAGGGCCGACTCTGTTGGAGCTGCCGTGCCTGGGGAAATCAGTGCAGCCCTTTACAGTACCACCTCTGCTCTGATTTCATGAGGGACAGCACCCAGGCTCTGCCGTGGGTCACTGCGGGACTCTGGTCACCTCGTGTGCCCTCTTGGGGGATTCCAGCATCGATCGAAAGCGAGGGGCCAGTTTATCCCTGAGGCCCCTCCAAGCTGCAAACACCAATGCCTCTTTCCACATGTAACTGGAAGTGCTTTCTGTTCCTGAAAACCCCAGCTTCTGCTCCCAGGGCCCCGTGCGGGCCAGGCTGCTCTCGGAAGGGAGCTTAGCCACTGAGGTTGTCCTGGGTCTCACCATTCAGGCCAGCGGGGGCCGGGGAGAGCTTGGCGGCACGGAGAGGCCCCGCTGTGGAGGAGCTCTCCTCTCTTCCTCCGAAGCGCCGGTGTGGGGCCCGGCGCACAGCCCATCTGTTTGGTTCGGCGTCTGCCTGACAGCGTGGGAAGAGCAGCAAGGAAGCACAGCCTTGGACATCAGGTGTTTAAAAGGCTGCACTTTCTGCTCCATATGGGGCCTGGGATCTTCGCGATGGGCCCACGTGCCGACTTTCAGACCTGAGAAGGTGAACTTCAGATGTCGCCGTGACCCGTTGCACCCCCCACCAAGAGTTAGAGCACAGACTGTAACAGACGGAAGGGCCAGAGAGATGTCTTGGACGCGACTTCTACTAATATCCCTCCAGCCCAGCATCTGAAAAAGGCGCACCTGTCAGAAGGTGCGTGTGTGGGCAGGAGGGGCTGGACTGGAAGCACAGAGAGCCCGAGGAGTTGGCCTAACTCCAGCACCATCTCTCTTGAGGCCTTAGATGGCACTACCTCCCAGTCCTCTGTTCTAGGCATCATCCTACTTCCCTGGGGAGGCTCTATCTGTGGTACTGAACCTACTGGAAACAGACCTTCAGAGAGGTGACTATGGCGCCCCCTTTCTGCAGTGAAGTGCAAAACCATCTGGGATGAGGGGGTCCCTATTCCTGGATACCTGGGGGCTCAAGAGGCGCTGAATACCAGTGTCTGACACATCTGAATCGGGACCCTCTCTCAGAGAAGCCCCGGCCCCCTTTGATAATAGAAGAGTCTGAAAGATGTCGATACCCTTTGGCCCAGCAATCTCTCTTCTGAGATTAATTAGGAGAAAAACAACTTTTTTCTTATTTATGTAGTGCGCCCTGCATTTATGTAGTCTTATTTATACAAGTTAAAAGTTTAAAGCATCCTAAATGTCAAAGAGTAAGAGAATTATTTAAATGACCTATAATATACACATACAATGGAATACCAAATAGCCATTAAAATTAAAATTAAAATTATATTATTGAGGATTACTTAATGTTCTGGAAAACTCTCATGACAGAATAAGTGGAAAAAAATCAAGACAACTCTACTGGACTTAGTTCAGAAGTTTCTAAAACTCATGCACAGAAAAAAGATCAGAAGGGGGGACATGAAAATATTTAAATGATTTCTAGAGGAGAAACAATTATTGATAATTATCATTTTCTTCTGCAAGCTTGTCTGGATTTCCCCAGGTCTCTACAATAGGCATGCATATAAAGCCAGCCCCAGGAGCCGGGCTCCCCGACCGGACGGCGCGCGGGCTGTGGGGTCACCAGCGCGGGTCAGGCTGGTGCGCGGCCACGGTTAGCATGCGCCCCTGCCTTCCCTCAGGAGATGACCCCACACTTCAGGGGCCCAACGTGCTCAGGCGCCCAGCCCGGGCTCCCCATCGCAACGGGACAACGGGGGCGGGGGCGGGGGGGGTGGCGGCCCAGGTCCCAACAGGGCGAGTGCAAGAGGCGTGATCGCTGACAGTTACCCGCTGCCCGGTGCTCCCGCCTACCAGTTTCGGGGTCGCATTGGTGTTCGCAGGGGTCCAGGAGCCGCCGGGCACAAAGGTCCATGGCCCAGGGCCCGCTGGAGTTCTGCTGGGAGAAGAGGACCACTTGGGCAGGGTTCAGCCAGTCGCTGGCATCCAGCTGGCTCCCCTCCAGCAAGATGAAGCGGCTCCCTGCAGGGCGGGGAGAGAGAGGCATGCCCCTGTGTGGGCGCAACACACACAGAGACTCACACATATGCACATACTAACACACGAGCACACGCACAAAACACATACATGTGCAAACACAAATACTAATGTGCATATAAATACGCAAACTCACACATGCCAGCACACTACATACACGCATGTGCAAACACAAATACACAAGCCCACAAACATGCAAGTACACATATATACACACAAATGCACGCACACCCAAACTCACATGCACCAACACACAAATTCACAGGCTGACACATTCACAAACTCACACATACACAACACAGAGTAAGGGGTTCTCTGCAGATCAGCCCAGCCTGAGGCCATTCCTCCTGCTGGTTCCAGGCCACCGTGAGCCCCAAGAAAGGTGCCAGCAGATGGAGGCTCGGCAACCCCTTGAGCCTCCCACTGCTCAATGTCTCCTGCTACCTGGCCTACCTCCTGTCTACCAGGGTGGAGCTAAGGGTACAGGGACAGAGCAGCTCCTCGATGGCCGCGCCGCTGCTCCCTCGGGCCCAGCCACGGGCACTGGCACCCGCCGAAGGACAAGAACCTGCTGCCCATCCTCACCTGCCGGGTGACAGCAGGCCCCTGTGGACAGTCCCCCCGTTTTCAGCCTTACAGCGGCCAAGCAGACAGACACTAGCAAGTCAACGAGGCGCTCTGGGCTGAACCAGCTCAGGGGCTCTCAGGACCTCTATTCCCCCTCATCGTCTTGGGGTCCCCCAGAATTAAAGCGCTGTGCTGCTATGGAGTTCTGGGCTCATGGTAAGTTACTGCAGTTAGGAATTTCTGCCCAGGGCACACCAAACTGAGGCAGGAACAATTCTTAACCACCTCCACTACTCCGCTTAGTCTCTCCCCCTCTGAAAAGCTACGACCCTCTCAGCGCCTATCTACCTGCATCTAGCGTGCTCTGTGCTTCTCTCCGAAGCCAGGGGCTGACAAACAAACAGAAATGGGAAACGAGAGTGAGCACAGAGATGAGGGGATCTGCTCAGCTTTTTCACCTGCCTTTTGATTGCATGTGTGGACAATCCAGTTTTATCCCAAGCCTTATTTATTTGTGTTTATTTCCCCCTCGCCTACAGTAATAGGCAACAGTGACCCCAGGCTTTTTCCGTATCCTCTCGCCCAACCCGAAACCTTTCTCTCTAGGGAGGGAGTCAGGGGTCAGGAGTGGGCTCACCATCGGCGATCAGGTGCTCGGGGACGTGCAGGGTGATCTTGACGACGAGAGGGCAGCTGACATGAGAGGAGCACACAAGGCCGATCACGCAGCTGGTGACGCTGATCAACATCAAGGTGGTCTTGCTGACAGGACTCCGGGGAGAGCCCACTGTGAGCAAGACACAGGCAAGACACATGGTGGTAAGAACCTTCAGGGAAAGGCCAGTGTGGTCTTTTGCCACCCAACCTGGGCAACAGGGGGAGCAGCTGGCAAACGCAGGCGGCAAATCTGTGCAGCTGCACGGCCTCGGTGACACCCACCCCCGCCGACCACCAACTCATCGCTTCGAGTCAGGGGATCTGGCCCACGGGAGGCCCTCCGGGTCAACAATGGTCACCCATGTGCAAGTCACCTGCAGTCTCCCTGGGCCAGGGTCACAAGACAAATGGTCCCGGAGGGCCTGCTCCCCCTTGAGGCACCCCAGCCTCTTGCTCAAGGGCGGCGGGACCTTGCTTGGTCCCCACGTACTTCCCACAGAGGGCGCTCTCACAAATCAGCGCCATCACCTCTGAGGAATTTCCTGAGCGTGAAGAGCTGCACCTACTCTCCGGGTGGGAGTCCTTTCGCTGTAGGTTCTGGGAGGAGGGAACTGAAGAAAGGCCCCTCTGTATGAGGGGTGGATGCTGTCACAGCAGAAGGCTCTCCCAGGCACTGCGGTGAGGGCATACACGGAATGCTTAGTGATAGCAGGACAGGGCTGGGGGAAAAGACGCACCCCCAGAGAGGTGGGGTCAGGGACAGGAAGCGGGGGGTTTGGCCTGTGTGGGGTTTGTGTTTTGTTTTGGGGGAGGTGATTTCACAGACAGGCAGAACAGAGGTGGGGAAGGAAGAAATCGAGGGTAATAGCCAACAGAATGTGTGGGTCCTCTGGAGTTTTCTCACGGTCTGTGTTAATATTTACTGTTGATAAAGGGCACCTATCACGTCTGACAGTGTGCTCAGTGATTTACATACTCTTTAAAATTGCGAATCCTCACTTCCTTACAGTAAACCTAGGTCTGCACAGTCCCTCCCCACTTCACACGTCAGGAAAGGAGGTCTCCAAGAGGCTGGCCGCCCAGGGGCAGTGAACGGTGGTGAAGTACAAGGACGGGCCAGGCCCCAGGGAGCTCCTGTCATTTCACAAGGGCCACACACTCAGGCGGCGGCATCCGCAGAGCCGCGGGGAGTCAGAGACACTGCAGGGCAGGTCCGGGGCCAAGCAGCCGCTAAGAAGGGGAGCTGGGACAAAAGCCCGGGTCCTGTTGGGGCTACGGCCCTGATGAGAGTCCAATCTTTGGGCCCAGTGAGGTTTTGGAGCCACTGCTCCCAGGAACACGGGAATGGTTTCCAGTCCGCGGATGCACCATCCTTTTTGGGAGCAGGTTCCCTGAGTGGGCGGTGGGCCGGCAGAGGCCGGGAGGCAGAGACCCCCGGGGCGGGGGCGGCAGGCAGCCCCCTGCATCCTCCGTCCCCGGCTGCCTGGAGAGCGTCTGCTCAGAGGCTAGTGTCCTCTGGACATGGAGTCTATCTCCCCACACTTGCAACCTCGGCGCCAGCCCAGGCCAGGCCTGAGCAGCAGAACCACTGCCAGAACGTCCCTCAGGCGCTCCAATGCAAACCCCAGACTGGGCTTTCCACCCTGCTTCCCACCCTGCTCCGCTTCCCACCGCCATTGCCCCAGCCGCAGACTGGACTTGGTTTCTCAAGTGACAGCACTTCCCCGCCCCGACACTTCCCTCCCCAGCAGCCCGCCCCCCCCCCGCCCCCCGCCCCAGTGCCATTGACTGGTTTTGCATTTTGCATCCAGACTTTCGGGCCACCTGCCTTCCTGGACCATGGCGATAGCCATTCCCCCACCCCCCTACCCCGCACCTACCCTCCCCCACTGCCCCAGAGGGGCCTTCGCCAAGCAGGGAGGGCTACAGCGCGGGGCTTTACAGCCTTCAAGGGCTCCAGCTGAAGTGTCAGGCCCACCCATGCCCTACGGTCAAGGCCACGGGCTTTCTCCTGACCTTCCGGCCCTCTTTCCTCAGAAAACCACACACCCGCACCCTAGGCCTCATTCTAGGCAACTATTTACTGCTCTCCGGTGAGACGGCTTTCGTTTGTGTCTGGAACCTGGTGAATCTTATCTCCTCCTCCACAGAATGCCATGTTGTCACCTTGTCAGCCTGGTGTACACCAACTCTTCAAGTCTCAGCCCAAACAACAGCTTCCTGTAAACACTCCCTGAAGCCTTTAAGAACAGCTTCTCCCCCATTCCTGACTGTTCCTCTAGCCCTTGGTGCACCCTGCTGTTACGGCTCTCGTCACACAGTGTGATCACGGTGTAGGGGCATTTGCCACTGCTCTCCTGTGACTGCACTGTAACTTGCTATCCATGTTCTTGTGTCTCTAGTTCTTCCGCAACAGTGACCCATCATCCAGCATCTCTACCTGGCTAGGGCCTCCGGAACCAAGCGCAGACTCAGTAACGTGGCATGCGTGCGGCCCTTGGCAGCCAGCCTGTTTTCCAGCCATCTCTGCTATGCACCCATGACAGCTGCTATACTGAGTACTTTCACTTGTTTGAAAATACTGTTCTTTTGGGCCTTTAAGGATTTTTAATAAAGATTTTACTTTTTATATTTATTTTTAGAGAGAAGGGAAGGGAAGGAGGAAGACAGGGAAAGAAACATCAATGTGAGAGAGAAACATCAATCGGTTGCCATTCAGTACATGCCCTACCTGGGGACCGAACCTGCAACCCACGCATGTGCCCCCACTAGGAACTGACCCGGTGACCTCTTGCTTTGTGGGATGATGCTCAACCAACTGATCCATATTGGTCAGGGCCCTTTAAGGCTTTTTCTATATTATTATCCTCTGCTGGAATGTCCTTATTTTACATTCTTCTCTTTCAATAAATTCTTTATATTGTATACAACCCAGGTGTAATTATTTTCTTTTCTCTTTTTTTTTGGCCTCCAAATGCTACCAGGTAGAACGAACTGTTCTCACTTCTGAGTATTAATTTTACTTTATTTATATTATTAAACTAAGACTTATCATTGTGCCACGTTTTCATGTTTCTACCACCTATCACAAAGCCTGACCCATGGCAGGCAGGTTATAAAATTTCTTGTTGATTGATGCATCCAGTTCAATTCAACAAACACTTACAATCATCTATTATAGGCAAAAACCCTCCACTAGGCACTTTGGAAAAATAAATTAGACATGCTCATCCCTAAGAAGCTTACAGTCTAGTTAATAGCAATAAACAGTTGACGTATTAGGGAGAGCTTGGTGTTTAAAATAAATTGGTTTATGCTGCAAAGAAACTCACTCTAATTCATTACTGTGGATTTTCCTAAACAGGTTTTTATTAAAGCAGAACACGCCCTGCTTTGGTATGGCCAGCGTTGATGAATCTAGGTTGACTATTCGCTGTATATAAATACGTAACAAGGATCAGCGGGCCCACATTCTCGCCTCAGGGATGGGGCACTGGACATTAAGCTGCCCAGAGCCCCCGAGCGTCTGAGGAAAGTGGTAGGAAGTAGTTTGGCGCTGAGAGCTGCAAAGCCCACAGGAGCTGGAGTTGGGGGATTAAACAGGCTCCTTCCACTCTCTGGGAAGTGTCCTCAGCACAAAGGAACTCAAAGGGAGGCAGGAGGGGGTCAAAATGCAGTTGTCTTTTGGGAGCACTGGCTGATTATTGGTTGGGGAAAACTCTATTGAGGATAATAAAGGGCCCAGCAGAAGTAACACCTGCTTGAGTGTGGCTGGTAGGGTAATATTATGGGTGTAATAATTTATAGTTTTCATTTGAACAATGCACCTAAAATGTCATAGGGTGCGCCTGAATGTGATGTTGTTATGTTACAGAATTACACGTTTATGATTTTGTAATAAAGGACTTTATAACAGAAAAGGGGCGTTATTTGTGCCCTGCACCCCGCACAATGTGACACTGCTCAAGTATCCTCCACTGTATCTCACGGGGCCCCCCTGTCCAAAACTCTAAGATGAAACACTGTGGAAACCTGAGGCTGCACTGTGGGGAGCTCTAAGAGCCACAGCAATAGGGATTTCATAGTCCTTTGCCAGTCACCCAAAAAAGGACATTTTAACATAATTTAATCTTGACAACAGCCCTACGTGTGAGGTGCTGTTAATCCATTTACTACGTGAGGAAACTGAGGCTCAGAGAAGTTGTTGTCCTTGTCCAGCATCAGTCAACGCTGAGGCCAATTAGTGCTTGAACCCAGACCACCTCAGTGAGAAAGGGGATGCCAGCAAGTCACGGGAAGCAGCAGCCACCAATGCAACCACCATACGCGAAGCCCCTCAACACCGGGGTGGAGGGGTACCGACGGCGGGCGGGTGGAGGGACCGGAAGTGTGGCTCCGGTGATTCCGCTGGGGAGGGGATTACAGGGTAAACGCCTTGACAGGCACCCTTCAGGCTAGAGAGGGTTCCCCAGTTGCCCCGCCCGCCCCGCCCCGCCCCGCCCTGCCCAGTGCCACGGCTGGTGTGGCTGGGGAAGCACGGGTCCACATCGGGTCCACTTTTCCCACCCAACACAGTTTATCCACTTTATTCCCTGCCTCTAAACAGCAAGATAGGACTCCCGAGGCTTCCAGAAGGCATTGAGAGTCTTCTGACCAAGAAATAGCCTTTCAAACAACTTGGACACCTGTTTGAGAGTGCCATTATCTGGGAGAGACGGGTCTCCGGAATGTTCCACCCCAGGCTCTTCTTTCTTCCTCGGCCCAGAAGAGCAACTGTGGCCTGAGAATCCTTTCCGCGGAAATGAGCTTCGGTGTGCAGATCCCACAGCCCGACCCAGTGCTTCTGCGGCTCCCCACCTCCCCTCCCCGGAGCCCCTGTCCCCGCACTCTGTCCCCCCATCCTTCCTACCTCTACTGCGTCTCCGGCTCCGTGAGGGGTCGGTGTAGAAGGTCAGCTGGGGGTCGTTTTCTGTCTCTGTGCCAGAATCCCCTTCAGGGTTCAGGAAGGCGGAACCAGCTGTAATGGACAGGACCATAGCAAAGACAACACCTTCAGTTTTGTCTTCATGAAACCAAATCTTTGGGCAAGTTCAAGAGAAAAATCGGTAAGAATGACAACTGGGCTGACAATCTGGGAGGAGTAGCCATGGGGAACGGAGCTTCCCAAGACACAGGTCTAGTGAAGAAACACTTTTAGATGACAGCAGCCATGGATCCCTGCCTTCCCCAGCCCCTGCCCCTACCGGGGCTGGGGGGAGGGGGCGTTCCTGCCAGCCACCTGCTGAACACGGATGGGGCTGGAATAGGAGGAAGGAGAAATGCCCCTCCTTACAGGTCGTAATTCCAGTTCTATGAGACTGAAATTATGTCTCAAGAGGTATATGTCATGATGCCTTAATGTCTAAAGGATTTTATATTTTTTTTCTGGTTCTAGAATTAATATATATTCAATGTCAAAAATAGAGAATAATAAAGAAAATATACAAAAATGAGTAAAGGGCCAACTCTGATGTCTTCTGAATCCTTACAATCAGAGCAAAACTGTGTTAATATGAAATGCATACTCTCCGCCTTTTTCTGATACAAAACCAGATAAACACTTTTCGATCTCCCTGTAGCATGGCATTCTGCTGCACCTTCTATTTTGAAACCTCTTTTGTTTCATTTAATAGATGGGTGGGCAACTTCCCACACTGACAGGTACAGATCCGTATCATCCCCGTGCATGGCTGCGAGGTTGGCCAGGGGACCGGGGTCCAATGTGCGGGCAGTTAGCCAGGTCCCTTCTGATGGACACTGAAGCGACTTCCCATTTTCCTCTCTTTTAAACAATGTGATGAAGAGCCTTTTACACCTGTCTCTGCATATTTGTCTAGTTATTTCCTAAGGATAAAGCCTGGCTGATGAAATTCCTTGGTCATGAAGTTTGTAAATTTGAGTCTTTCTGGTAAGTAGCACTCAGCAGGCCTCCAGAAAGACCGCACGGAAACCCAGCCCCTCTAGACATGAGTGAGAGGCGGGGCCGGGAATCCACCTGCACACCCCGCCTCAGACACGGGTACCTCTCGCTTTGTTGTTGATGCGCTTCCTCTGGCTGCTGGAGGTGTGCGAGAGCAGGGTTGCCTGCTGGTGGTTGGAGTCCACAGGGCTGGTGGCGATGATGTTATCCTTGTACTTGTTCATCAGCGACAGCTTGGCATTGTCGCTCCCTGAATAAGAAAAGTCAAGGCGAGAACTTTCAGAGAAAAAGTCAAAGAAAGCGAGAGCAAAGGAATCTGCATACACCAAGTACATGCAGTTTTCACAGAATTAAAATAGGGAACCTTTAAAGTGAGGGGTTAGCAGAGATGGAAATGCTTGGATTTCTAGGGGGCCCCTGAGGGACGGGAGGAGTGAAGTAAGTGTGATTCCAACCAGAAATCCAAGTCCACTCACTCTGTGTTGAGAGGGCCACCGCGTGCGGCCCTTTGACTAGACACGGCCTACGGAGGGCTTCCTTTTGGTTGGCCTAGAGTTTTACGAGAATGTGCATTTGAGTGCCTTCAGAGACAAGAGGCCCGCTCCCCTCCACAGTCTGCAACCGGTCCCTATCACCTGACGTCCGGCTCGTTCACATGTCTGCGCCATCTGCCTGCTCCCTGAGTGCCTTTGACCTTGTAACCCCGAGTATGACGTGGGTACCTGCTGGGCTTAGCACTCCGCCAGGTGCTATGGGGAACCCAAGGCGCTGATGACGTGCCCCCTGTTCTCAAGGAGTTTCCAGGTTTTCATCTTAGTAGGAAGTAGCCATTCACATAGGCTCTCTTTCTGAGACCTGTATGATGGGATGTCCCTCTTTTCAAGTTTAGAGTCCATATAAAGCAATATTCAGTATCAAACTGTCTTCTTCAAAGATAATGGAGCCGTTCTTTGAAGGGCCACTGTCTTGGGGTTTTATCTATGGGGAGTTGCTACTTTATAGAATTTCAAGAGAGACAGGTAGGCTACTGTAAAGGAAAAGTACAGTTATGTCCTCTCTGCATTTTGTTGACCCTGGTCTTGTTCAGCCAGATCAGGCCGAAGTCTCTTCCACCTCAGGTCTCACAAGTGCACAAGGTGTCTGCGGTCAGAGAGCCTGACCGCATCCCTTCCTCTTCTCTGAAGAAGTACATCACTTGTAAAGACTTCGGAAGCATGGGCAAGATGACACAACTAACCCCCAAGGCCAAAAGCTCCAGAGTCAAGAACAGGTACCTCCATCCTCTCCACTTAAATGGAAAATTAAATTGCCTAAACACGCCCATATACAACTACCATACTCACACAATGATCTTTCTTGCTATCTTCTTATGTCCCAGAGGATGTTCACTATGTAGGAAAAAGGCTCCAACCCACTCTTGGGCTGGATGTAAAAGTATCTCTGCCACCAGTGCAAAAGGGAGGTGGGGAGGGACCCAAGTTACCCCTGTCCTGCTGGCGTCCTGTGCCACAAAACAGTTCTTCCCCTCTCAGGAGGAAACATATGCTTCTTGCCCACCTGGGAAAGGGCACCGGCATGTCCCATGATGCATGACGGTCAGCCACGAAATTAGGGGCAGCTCTTCCCTACCCGCTCCCTAGCTCCCACGACAAGGACCAGGTCGCCCACCTGGCGTGAGGTCCATGCCCGCCTTCTCATTGCAGCCCTGCAGGGAGTCGAGGGTGCGGGTGACCTGGCTGGCAAAGTCCTCCCCTCCGTTCATGCACTCCCTCTGCAGGTGGTGGCGCAGGTCGGTGATGTCGTACTCATAGCCGTCCAGGATGGGCGTCTCACGGATGCTCAGGGTGCCGCTGGAGTTGTGGCCCTGCACGCGGGCGTTGCGCAGACTCTCCCGCCCGTGCCCGCCAATCAGCACCGAGGGGATGTAGTGGATCTCGTTGGCCGCCTCGGCGCTGGCGCTCTTCTGGGGCTGGGGCACCCGGCGGCGCTTGCACCAGCGGCGGCGCGTGTACAGGATCATCACCAGGCACAGGATGGACAGCAGCAGAGCGATCATGCCACCCTGGGAAGAGAGGACGGCAGATGGGGGGGTGGTGAGCTCGTCTCTCAGAGAGCAGCGCCCCTGCGCCGCCACCACCCATCACGCGTTCCTTCGTTCTTCCAGGTGCAGGAAGCATGTGTGACAGGCATCGCTGGGCACGCAAAGGGGCGTGTGCTGGGATCCCTGCTTGCGGCAGAAGAAAAACGGAGCCGGGATGACCCGTGCATCGTTTAACTGATCCACAGGTGCTGCTGGCTTAGCCGACACTGAATAAAGAAGGGTTTGTGAGAGTGAGTGAGTGAGTGAGTGTGTTTCAGCTCCAGAAATAAAGGAGAGGGTTAGTTTGTTAAGGCAAATTTGTTCCATAAAGCTACTTCCAGGCTAATTTTTAGCAACAGTGGTGGAGGGTGGCGGCGGGGGGGGGGAGGGGGCGCGTGGAATCTGGTTTCTTCCTCTCTCATATCTTTAAATCAATCATGTACAGATTCTAACTCTAGCTCTACCAATGACCGCGAGTCCCCTACATTTGAAACCTCAGCTTCCTACTCTGAGGAAGATAAACCAGCCCCCACAGGGTGGCGGTCAGGACCAAGTCAGTCACCTACGTAAAGTGCCCAGTAGAGGTGTCCCACAGAATCAAGGCTGTCCTCAGCCTAACCTTAAATATCTCCATCAAAGTCACTGCCCCAGCCAGGAAAGCCATGGGCCAGTCCGGAGAGGAGTGGACATCCCAGTGTGCGGAGGCATCTCACCCTCTGACATGAGTTGGGGCCACCGCTGCCTGAGGAGACAGCCCTCCCCAACTCACGCCGTCCTGAGAGATGCGCCACCTCTCGAGGGGAGAGACCGAGACCCACGTCCTGGGGTCCGGCCAGCGGGAGAGGTTTCTTCTGACCATGCCTCAAGGCCATCCTCTGAGGCCGTTACATGAAGACCAGGACATGGCTCCATGTGTCAGAGGGGAGGACGCAGTGCTCGCTGAGATGGAACGCCCCACCTGGACACCCACCCAGGACGGGGTTGGCAGGGAAGGTCTGGCGAGCTTGTTGCTGCTCAGAGCTCAGTGGACACATATCTTCCTGCGAACAACCTGTCTTCACTCCCTTCATTTTGGTCCATATCCCTCCCAGCCTATTCCGTTAGGTGGGGGTGTGCCACATGGTTCCTTCCCAACTTGGGGCTGCCATCGCCACCGCCCCATCATATGGGCCAGAGATGAAAGCCCATACAAGGCAGCGTCAAGATGGTTCCCCAAACTCATTGAAGGGGACTTTTCCTAGTCTCATAATAATTATGCCTTGGTTTATAAAGTTTCTCTCCTCATAAACCTTTTCATTTACCTTCCCTTTCCTACCATCACTGTGAGCAAAGGAGCGAGCATGCATGCAGACACAAACACGCACACACACGCGCACACTTACTTACACACGCACGCACGTGCGCGCGCCACGGCCACTTTCAAAGGAGTGGAGATGGGAAGCAACAGAGGCAGCTGCCAGTGGCAGGTCATGTCCGGTGGCTTTTTGGGGACCCTCGCTGGCCTCCAGGTTTTCAAACTCCTCTGTTATCTGTGTGACTCCTCCTGGTGGAACCTCCCGTGCAGGTACAGAGGACGCATGCAGGTGATGCTGCTCAGCTACAGCTGGGGAGAGTCTGAAGCCACAGAGCCACATGCTCAGAGGCCTGGCTGACCACCCACCCTCCATTCCTGCGGACGAGCACACAGAGCCCCCGCGGCTCTCGAAGGGACCACACGGGAGCCCCGCGCCCGTCTGCTGAGAGGGAACGCCCGTCCAACCCTGTGGGTTTCCAGCGAACACTGTGTCTCAGAGTCCTTCCCCCCAAACTGAAACTGCAACAAGAGGCAACTAAGCCACACAGGAAGAAAACCCCCCGAGTGGGAGAAGTTGCCAGACGCTGAATTAGGAGGTACTTTTACTCCCAGAAGAGCTGTAGGAGGAGCGCTCATCCACCTCCGAGGACTGGCTTCGGCACCGTCCTTCCTGCCCCCTGCCCCCTGCCCGGGGGTGCAGGAGCCCCTTCCGCCCGCCCGCCCCAGCTCTCCTCGCATGTGGCCACCGCGGGGCCGGGGCATGATGCAGTCGCAGGTTCTTTCCTGATGCTGCGCAGGAATAAAGCGACAACAGCTGTCCAGGGCGGGGTTTTACGAGGCATCAGACACTGCTTATAAACGCTCCACACTTTCAACTCTAAGAGGGACAGTTAAACTATGTTAAACATGTTAGCCACTTTAACATTTGAAAAGGTGAGGCACAGAGGTAAAAACAAAACGAAACATAAAACCTTGCCCGAGGTCACATGGGATATGAAGGGGACTGACAGGGGAACAAAATGACTCCCACTTCAGAGCCTGGGTTCCTCCCCAGCAGCCACAGCCGCCCTGAAGGAGCTTTGCTCTCTGGCGAGCCCCCTGGCGTGTGGCTCACAAGCCCTGAGGGGACAAGGCAGGAGTGTGGATGGGTGATTCCTCCTAGGTCCATCCTCACTTCTCGAAGGACAAAGAGAAGAGATTCCAAACGCCCATCTAACTGACCGTGGGTCGAACGAGCAGTGTCACAAACACACGTCCTTTTGTGATGCACCCAAAGGTGTCCCCACCCGAGATCAGTCTGTACTGGGGAGACGGCAGACCCACTTCAAGGTCCCTGTGCTGAAATAAGACGGGGCATCACACGTCGCTCCATGCCTGCAGGACACCATCAGGCCCTCACGTTGGCTGAATTTCAACGAAGAAATCTGTGTTTTGGTTCAACTGTTTTTACTCACTGAAAATCTCTGGGTTCTTCCCCTCCTTTTCCAATGAAGAAACAAGGCCCAGAGAAACCACGAAACCAGGCAGTGCCCCACTGGTTCCAGCCCCAGACCCTTGGTGGCTGCTCCTTCCGCGGCACTGTTTTTGTTAGGTTCCTATTGAGTTCCCTTTCCCACGCATGGGCCTAGACACTCAGGAACAGTTTATTTTGTAAACAACCCAACATAAAGGGAGCTAGAACACACATTTTCATTCGGCTAAGCCAGTGTATTAAACATACCTAATCTTGCTTTCGCTAAACATTTTCTCTGCTTAGAGTCAGTGACTCCTGACAATCTTAACTCTTTAAAAAATATATATATTTTATTTAGTTTTTTTTAGAGAAAGGAGAAGGGAGGGAGACAGGGAAAGAAACATCCATCGGTTGCCCTTCGCAAACCCCCAACCAGGGACCTGGTCCACAACCCAGGCATGTGCCCTGATCAGGAATTGAACCGTGGCCTTTCAGTTTGTGGGACGATGCTCAGCCACTGAGCCAGACCAATCAGGGCTGACCTCAACTCTTTAATAATGAGTTACCAGTAATGAGCTCCAGACAGTAGGTGAAACTTAGCGCAGGCCTAGGAGGAAGGATCCTCAGGTGGTCACTTGAGACCAACAACTCGGGTGGACAGTTTCTCTGCTCCTGTAACTCACGCTGGTAGCAGATGCCACAACGCTTTGAGATGACTCACCAATTGTGGATTATTATGTAAATAATAATACAGGGTGGCCAAAGTGGCACAGTTGTTTATATGGAAAAAGGCTTGCGGGTTATGATTATTGCAACAGCTTTCTTAACTGAAAAAAACAATGCCACAGTGCAGTTGTAAACCTCCTTTTGTCCCCCTTGTATATGTAATGCTATATGGTATTACTATATAATTTAATAATATTTTATAATAACAGCAATTTATAAAATCAGCGCGCGCGCACACACGCATCTGCCTCATCCAGTGTGAAAGTCACCAGCAGCAGGAAGAGACACGGGGGTCGCCTCCTTCCACAGTGAGAACTTGGAGACCCGACGTTCACATCTGACGGCCTGTACAGTCCTGTGATGAACTATAGTTCCTGATATTATCATTACTTTTAATCTCACTACTTCCACAGGGGATTTTAAGCAATTTCAGAAAAAAACACAGATGCTCTAGGATCTTCCTTCAAATCATCCAGTGAAACCAGGAGGTGGAAGGAAATAAACCCGGGCCAAGCGCTGCCGCTAGGAGCTTCCTGGTAACCGAGTCAAGAGGAGGAAGGCAGGCAAGCAGCCGTACCTTCTTGTCCGACCACAGGGAGTCTGTGGGGAGAGACAGGCCTGCTCCACGCGTCCAACCCCACAGGGACTTCCACCTGGCCATACACACGGGCATGCTGACCCACGTGACGGCAACGTCCTTCCCGACACAGGAGCTACACCAGTGCCAAGAGCCCTGCACGCTGCGTTTCTGGCTTCGAGTGTCTGCATTACGTCAGCTGTGTTCGGAGTGTGTTCTTATTCACGTGTCTTAGTTTGTTTTCATGGCATTAAAAATAAACAAAAAAATTAAGAAACATTTGGACCTATGCAAAACAAGTTGCAAATTTAAACATTAAAACAATAACAACACTGGCCACATGATATGGAATTATTTTGCTCTTTGTTCATCTTTTCATGACTTTCCTGATTATTCTATTGATTTTCCTCAAAACTGTTAACATTTTGTAACTAGAAGTGCGTTTGGGGTATATCAGAGCTCCATATCTATGAACAAGTTGCTTGCAAAAAAAATGTCATTTAAAAATGTTTTTCTTTAAAAAAATCAATAAATCATTTCTACTGGCTTCAAGAGAGATCAAACAAATGAAACTGGCTTTCATTTTATTACGACACTGACATTTTCGGCGCTCACCTGAGAGTACAGTGTGAGGTTGTCAGGTAATGTGCAGATTTTGGGATCTTTATGTAACCATGTTTTATGTAACATCGGCAGTGATTGCCCCAGGATAGAATGTTCTTGGCAGATCTCCCTTCCATGCTCAGGCCAGTCATGGAGGTCAACCACAAGCCGGTCTCATTATCTGACATGTGTATTGGTCCTGGGTCTGGGTCACGTCACCCTCCCTTAATTAACTCCTACTTGTCCTCCAAAATGAGTTCAGTGACATAACCTCAGAGACTATTTACCTAATCTTGCTGAACTGCCCACAGAACCTGCCATATAACTCT